ATTTTAACCAAATATAATATAAAGGATATTGTTGTAATTATGATAAAAGAAGCATTATAATAATTTTAGCCAATTATAGTAAGCAGAAAAAAGAAAAAAAAAACAAGCCACATACAATTGTATCAAGTGGATTTTAAGAAAAAATTAAATCTAAAAATTTTTTTATTCAATATTTTTAAAAAATCTAAATTCAAAAAGAGTAAAAAAAAAATTAAAAAATAAAAAACTTTTGATCGAAGCAAGTCTCAAATATTAAAAAAATTTAGAAAAATACATATATTATTTTTATAATTTTTAAAAAAGGTAAAATAAAGAAAAAAAAAGAGTAAAACCCAGAAAATGACATGTGATAGTTAAAGAAAACGGAACTGCAAATTGCACATCATTCAAGTGTACTCTAAAAGAATAAAAAATATCTTAATTACTTTTTTTATTTAAAAACATGAAAAACAAAAAAGGATAAAAAGGGAAAAGCAAAATAAAAATGATATAAGTGGATCAGACACGTAATAAAAATATAATCTTTACAAGTATATATTTTTTATAATTTTAAAAAATTTATTATTTTTTTAAAGAAAAAAGTAAACAAAAAAGAAATAATGCCCAAAAAAAAAAGGGAAGCAAAGGCCAATCAGGATACAACATGCGGCAAATAATGGGTGAGAGCTGTTCATCTGTACATTAGTAAAATTAATAGTAAAGATGAATACATAGATGGACGGACATGTGCACGTAGGAAATAGTGCTTGTTTTAACACCTTATGTCATGCTGACCTCGACCAGGTTTTCAAGCCACCAAGAGATACTATATTCAGTGCTCTTAAATTAAGCATGAGTGACATGATTTATATCAGTTTAACAAAAATTTTATTGGAAATAGAAAACAATCTGTCGCTGTAACCTAAAAAATGGTTCAAAAGATATCCAACATGTTAAGATGTACTACCAATGTGATAGTGAAGAGGAAAATTGACAGGGTAGCAAATCCTCTATCTAGCTTCTACCAATGTGATCGTCACAGAAGAATGACTACAATATTCTTCCTTACTGTAACAGTTGAGGCATCTCTCAATGAAGAAACCAGGCTGCTTTGGCTCAAGCAGTGTTAAACCTTCATTACTCAAAATGGAAACGACAGTTGACATTGTTGGTCGGTCCTTCGGGGCTTTCTGTACACACAGCAGGCCGACTTGCATAACCTTCACAAGTTCAGATTCAAAACTGGAACCATCCAAATTAGCATCCATAAGTTCCAGGGGCCTGCCCTCTTTCCAAAGTATCCATGCCTGGTGGATATTGATCAAAGTTAGAGTCTTTTTAGAATGAAACACAATAAAAAGAAAAAGATTATGAGGGAAAAACATACACGTAGGTGCACTTTATGTGCTTACATGTCCTAAAAGGTTGTGCTGATGATCTAGATGCCGAAAAGCTCTATTTTTCATGCCACTTAATATCTCTAACACTATTACTCCAAAGCTGAACACATCGGATTTCACAGAGAAGAGGCCATCAATCCCATATTCAGGGGACATATAACCACTGAACACCATGAGTAGAGATTAATACAAAAGATGCAATGAAAGGCAAGACCAGGACACATCTTGATACCATCAAGAAACTTACTAGGTTCCAGCAATTCTTTTGGTTTTAACTCTGGACTGATCTCCTTCAAAAACTCTAGCCATGCCAAAGTCCGAGATTTTTGGGTTCATTTCAGCGTCCAGTAATATATTGCTGGTTTTCAAATCCCGATGAATGATGGTCAGTCTTGAATCTTGATGAAGATAAAGCAGTCCTCTAGCAATCCCCACAATAATGTCCAATCGTCTTTTCCAATCCAGCATCTTGCTTTTTCTTGGATCTGAACAATAATTGTGTTCAAGTCAAGCCTTTTTTTTTACCTAGTAAATACAAGATTCAGGACAAAAACAGTCACATAGTGGTATGTATGGTATAATTTTTAATAGAAACTTCAGTTGTCAAATATATATAGAGAGTTAGAAGGTAATGGACCAAAAATAAATTGATCCAGGCTGTTATTTGCCATATGTTCATAAACCAGCATCCTTTCTTCGCCTTGAGTGCAGACACACAAAAGTTTGACAAGGTTACGATGCTGAGGTTTCGCTACCAACATAACTTCATTTTTAAACTCTGAGATGCCCTGTTTAGAAGTTTCTGATAGCCTTTTCACAGCTATTTCTTGACCCTCCACTAGTATACCCTGCATGTATTACTAGGATGTCATATTATTGTCAATGAATTTACTGCATGTAATCAGGGATATGTATAGTATACACAAATAGATGACTTAAGTTCTGAGAGACCACCTTATATACTGGGCCAAAGCCGCCTTCTCCAAGCTTATTTCACAACAGAAATTGTCTGTAGCAGTAAGCACTGTAGCCAAACTAAACATAGGCAAGTCCAGGTCTTTGTTTAGGTTGTCTCCAGTACCTGACACTAAGAAAAAAAAAAAAAAAAACAAAAGGAGAGGAGAAAGAAAACCCAATAAATAACAGCAATACAGCGTCAGTTCTTCTTGAGCTATTGCTGCTGTAATTGCTTTATGATATGGTAAACACTGAAAACAATACCAATGATAAAAGTTTTTGCAACAGTAGTTCAAAATACTTAGGTTGTTGTCTACTTCTTGTCTTCACATCTCTTGGTTAAAATTGAACCATAGGGGATTTCTTTATTTTTGTTGCACATGGCATTACAGCTGCCATGTTCCTATAAATTTGTTTATCCCACCTCAAAGAATAAAAATATATGCACAGAAGATGGAGGTAGAAGGTGAAGAAAAAATGATTTGGCAGTGTCAAAGAAAGTCCAAAGTTCAAAGTTCAAGAACCTTCGGTTCACGTATTGCCATACCAGAAGCAGTTAACGCCCAATACAAAGCTTACTCAAACTGTCTAAACTAAACAGAGAGAGAGCTATCTCCAATTAAGTTCCTTTTGCAGTCAACTAGTAATAAGTTTTGTATAGTCTATTTACTGTATTCAAGCTCTGATACCTCTGCACTTTTTGTCAGTTCTTGGTGCAAATAATTGTAATAATTAACTGCTAGAATTTTATTACTTTTCTACAGATTAAAGTGGGCTAGCTTCAATCCATTGCTGCAGATGGCATGGGCTGAGAGCTTTCTTTTTTTTTTTTAAATATTGAGAGGGTCTGCAGAGTCTTACCTTTGTTCTTTTGGTTTTTCTCCTTGATTATGAAGCAAACAACGAAACCCACCAAGACAAGGATCCCGGAAACAACTAATATGATCACAATCATCATGATTTGCCTTTTCTTTTTTCTACTATCAGCAATTGACTCTTGAACATCAACCAAAGAGGAAATTTTAAAACGTGAAAATCATCTTCAATTGAAGAGAAATACTACAATATATATAGGTCTAATTCATGAAAGTATAGGAAACTGAGATAGTGCTTATATATATGGGCAATGTAACACAACAGAGCTAGCTACTTGTCAAACACAAAGGGGTTTTCTTCAGTTTCCTATGCTGAAACTTTTGAATAATGCTGTTAGCATTCTACTGATTAATTAATGAAAAACTTCTATATCTTCAGGTCTCATGATTTTCAGTAATGTGTACAAAGATTTCTGCATGTGAATCTAGGCACATTAAAATACATGCTGTATAAATATTGATTAGTATTAACTAGATACAGAGGGCGCAGGTATTCTGCATCTCCCGTTGCCTCGGTCCTAGAACTCACTAGAAGTTTCTTTTGTTTCTTTTACATTCATGAGAACACCGAAGGACATGATTGGTAAAAAGAAGTTTCCAAGAGATAATATGATGTATTTTTTTATTCTAACATACCTATATCTGAAGCAGCCAGCCTTATATGGAGATCTTGCTCTTCCTTTTTGTGATCACCAGCTTCATATCATACAGGTCCCCAAACCAGACCAAGCAGCCTTGTCCTCCTTCAATGACATTTAAGCTGGCATAAGCTGTACATGAACAGTTCTTCGAGCATTCTTCCTTACATTCCTTGAGATTCATGTTCTCATTTGTCCAAAACTGCAGCAAATCGGGCAATTTAACCCTCCTTTTTCAGGAATCCATCTTGATTGCTGCAGTCTAATTCTGTCTTCCTGATGCAGCCACCAGCCCAATTGAAAGCATCCCATTCTTCCTGTGACCTAGGGATGAAGCCTGTCAAACACTCGCATAGAACAGGTAAATTGTAACTATTACAAATACTATTAGGCCCACAGATTCCATAATTATCACAGCGGTCTTTCCTTGCTTCATATATATTGATCCACTTAAGAGTTTCTTCATCCCATACATAGCGTTGAGCTAATCCATTGTAGTTCACAACTAATATTGTAGTCGTGTTATCTGCACCTCGATCCATGTATGTTAACTTCATTGCTATTGAAGGTAAAAGTCGGAACAAGGGCTTTAGTAGATTTCCATAGATTGTAATTAAAACCAACACCATTCCATATCCCAGTTCTGTACTTCCTGATTAATCCCTCACGAAGAACAAATTGAGGCAGAACAGTAATGTCAATCCCGAAAGTAAAATTGCCAGGAGAAGGATCACCAGCACTTTTCCAAGATGTCAATTGGCGATGCAAACCAGTCTTTGCATCCCAACCCAACTTCATGCCTGCCAAAAGTGTATCACATGGATAATCGAAACTCTGCCATACATAACCATCAGAATCAGTGTCTGTCCCTTTTCCATCAAAGAGAACTAAATTTCCAGAATTTAGAAGCTTCGCCGGTTGGTTCTTTTATTGATCTTTCTGAATTTGGTTTTGAGGACCAGGTGACATTTCCTGCTCCATCAAGAAGTATGAGATTACCATCAGCACTGAATGTCAACTGTCCATATGAATCATTTATTGGCCTTCCTCTATTTCCCACCCAAACAATTGTTTGTGGAAAAATATCCTTGTACCATATTCCCAGATATCGATGATTTGACTGGCTTGGACTGAAGAATCCTAGTATGAAGCTGCTTCCAGAAGAAAGAAGCACTTGGCGATCTGAAATGATTTGTTTTGGGGTTATGGATTATGGTGTCAACTGCAGGGCAAATTCTGCAACAACAAGAAAGAGATACACAATAAGCTAAAAACCTCAGAAGAAGTTTCATTTTTCCTCTTCTAATTTCTACAAACAAATGTATCTGACAGAAGCCGCAAAAGAGGGAAAAAAAAAACTTGCTATCATCAGAATCATAAAAAAAGGAAGTACCTGTTTCTTCCAAATACCTACTCTGAAACGCCAGTCAAATGATAAATAAATATAAATTGGACAAATTGGACTATCATCTGGAAAACTGCGACTGAGATGCTTAATGTCAACTCTAAAACGAATTTAATAAAAATTACCTGATTTTAAAAATTTAAGCTCAAAAATATTTCATAAGTTAGGCTTTTGAATGACTTCAATTACATTGAACTTGCTATTGACAACATCATTAAAGAACGTTGAATAAAAGTCAAAATTCCAATTCCAACAACTAAACAAGCCATCAAAAGGAAGTTAAATTATCATTGTAGTTAAAAAACGCATGGCTTATGTCATGGTTCCACCTGCATTGAGTAGTAAATAGAAACGATAGGAAAAATAACTTTTGGAACTTCAACAAAACAAAGATTATTTGTTCATTGAAACTTTCTCCTATCAAGCATTTAAAAGAAGAAAAAACATCAAAATATGATTCCTCATTATAATCAGTTCGTACCATTAGAGAAAGAACGTAGTAAATGAAACTTCATGGGAAGCCTCGTTACATGGTGCAATAGTACAAGACAGAATGAGGCCATGTAGAAAATATGGGATTTCTGCTTCTCGACCTGAAATGATTTTATCCAATAAAATAACATAGGCAAAGCTATAGCAATCAGTATATGCACCGTTACTGTTTTCTGGAGGTATACTATAGTATGTATTTGACGATTGCCTCAAAGGCTGATATATCTAGATGGTCAAAGTTAGTTTGATTAAGACGTTTTCCTTGCCACGCTTCTGATCAATCACTATTCAGTTGAAGCAAAATATCTGAGATATTATCATGTCAGTTAATGAATCATGAATGGTTAATAAAGCAATTGCAATTATTGCGATCGTTATATAAGATAAAGACTAATGCTATCAATGCGGTGTAAATGGTCTTTTCATTTCTCAGTGTGAGCCTTTTTTCGCCTGAGACTTATTACATTTTCTGGTAACAGAGCCGAATTTAAAGCATATTGTCTTCAATATTCACAAATTTAAGAATTTTAATGAAAAGAATGGTGCATATTCAGCAACGCTTAAAGCTTGTGAAACAAACAGAAATAAAATTACTTTCTATCTACCCTGTAGCATTGAAATAGTTACTTCATTTGAGTTGTATGTTAACTTTCTGGTTGATGAAGTGTCGGTCTCTGTTAGAAATCTTTCTGTATAAAATCCAGGTTGCTTAGGTTGAGGAAGAGAAGGATTCTCACTATCAAACATCAAGAGAACCGATGACATTGTAGGCCTGTCTTCAGATCGTTTTTGTACACATAGGAGACCCACTTGTATACATCTTAACACTTCTAGGGTGGAAACTTGCTTCTCCATCAAAGGATCGATTAATTCCATAAGCCTGCCTCCTTTCCACAATTTCCATGCCTACCAATACAAAACACTTTCATTTAATGTAGAATTGCATTTTTGAAACTATAACAGGCTCTATTATCCTAGGAAAGAAAATGTTAATATCTAAACTCACATGTCCTAGAAGGTTGAGGTCATGATCAGGATGATAAAATCCTCTATTCCTCTTCCCGCTGACAATCTCTAAAACCAGTACACCGAAGCTGAAGACATCCGACTTCACTGAAAATAGACCGTCTATTGCATATTCAGGAGACATGTATCCACTACAGGGAATCAACAAAGAAAAGAATTTTATGTCATATTACAATTTATATTTAGGGAGACAGAAAGAGAGAGAGGCTATTTCACTTACTAAGTTCCAATGATTCTAGATGTGTTTGATTCTGAATGATCACCTCCAAATGTTCTTGCCAAGCCGAAGTCTGATATTCTAGGGTTCATCTCACCATCTAGGAGAATGTTGCTGGCTTTAAGGTCTCTATGAATGATTCTAAGCCTTGAATCTCGATGAAGATAAAGAAGTCCTCTAGCAATCCCAATTATTATATAATATCTTTTCTGCCAATCTAGCGATGTACCCCTTGTTTTATCTGATCAAGTTCATCCTAGTTAGAAACCCAAATACACAATAAAAGAAATAAGAAACGTTGAGAGAAGAGCTAACCAAAAATATAGAGGTCCAAACTTCTATTAGGCATGAATTCATATATTAGCATTCTCTCTTCCGCATAAATGCAGCATCCCAAGAGCCTAACAAGATTCCGATGCTGGAGTTTTGCAATGAATATAACCTCATTCTTAAACTCTTTCAGCCCTTGTCCTGAATCTTTAGAAAGCCTCTTCACAGCAATTTCTTGCCCTGTTGGGAGCTTACCCTATAATCATTGTATCATGAGTAGTTAAAATTAAATGTATAGATATGTGTGTACGAACATTGAATTGAATAGAACATCTGATTTTTAACTCTTTTGCCATTAAATTAGTTTTATAGATATGTACAGGAAAATTACCCTGTAAACAGCGCCAAAACCACCTTCACCAATCTTATTTGTGAAAGCAAAGTCATTGGTAGCAGATGCAACTGTTAGCCGATCAAATAATGGTAAGTCCAGATCTTCTTCCGCAGAATTAGGATGAAGTTCATGCAGATTGTTCTCTTCCTGGGCTGTCAAATTTAGAAACTGTCCGTTAATATGCACATGCATGTGTCATTCAGTGAACTTGATAACCTTTCTTTTGAGCCAAAATATTTCAAATAAACTAAAGTTACTTCCAAGCTTGGTTTATCTCAGAAATAAAATATTCCCATAATTTTAAATGCTGGCTCTACTCCGAATTCAAATACTACTAACTTGGAATCAATCAAGGTGAGTTCGGTGAATTTCCAATGTCAATCTTTCATTTTAGTTGTGAAAAAAAAAATACACGTTTTTCAAAGAAACATTAGATTTCTAAGACAGGGCGTGTTTTTTTTCTTCTCCTGTACAAGAATAGGAATATTAAAAACACTTTATCCTTTGAGGTCCCTATCGCAATTAAATTTACCTGGACTCTTATTTTGGGCTCGCTTTCCAGTAAGATAATAACAACAGGTTAATATCAGCAGCAGCAGAATTCCAGAAGCTACAGATGAGGAGATGATCACAACCGTTCGTTTGGCAATCTTTTTTGACTCTTTACACATCATCCACCGCGCAAGAAGAAAAACCAAAGAAAAAACAAAAGATTAGGGTCAATACATTCGTCACTTTCGATTAAGACATGTCGGTATTGAAATTTGTATCCATTATATTATATTTATTTAATTAAACCATGAGTGTATAATAAGGTCAGTCAAAGAAAACCCAAATATTATTTGGCTTAGTGCAAAATTGACTAATAAAAGAGTGGGAGAGAAAATCAAAATGAAACTCTTTTTTCATTAATTATTTATTTCTTTTAAATTTCCTTTTTCGTTTTTTCTACGGAGCCAATAAACAACAACAATTTGTCGTTGATTTGGCTTTGGACTCACAATTAATCTCAATTAATCTACTAAGTACTAATTCTGTAATTCATAAATATTTTTATATCCAAACATGGCGGCTAGAATAGGGAGAGCCCGATGTAAAGCTTAATAACTTCGCTCACATTGTTCCTTCACCAAAAACAAATATTTTCATTGACGTTGAATGCCCACTGTCTTGCAATTCAAGTTAGCATGACTCAGTCAAATGGTTATATGAAAATGTAGGCCTAACAATCCACTCATTCCTAAAATCAATTCCAGCAATTCTTTTAATATATGTAATCTAACATTGTCAAAACTCAAAAAAAAAAAGAGAAAGACAAGTTGAAATCTCAAATCTAACAGATATTCAAAGATAAAACTATATGATCTTTGTAAATGTAACAAAATCTGGCTGAAGTGCATTAACTTGTTCAGAATAACAACATTATTATAGTGAAAAAAGTTCCAAGAAATTAGAGTTAAAAAAAATGACTTTGTAGTCTGATGGTATAATTTTATTCGTTAAAAAAAAAAAAAAAAAACTAATGTATTAAGTTTATAAAGTACTGAAAATTTGATATGCGTATGGGTAGATATAAAAAGGGTTAGGAGAAGAAGTATTTTAATGTAATTTCGATAATGTTACTATTTTTTATCTAGGAAAAAAATGTCAGTAAAAACTTGGTTCAGATTCATAGAATAACACTTACCAATCTCTGAAGCAGCCATCCTGACGTGAAGATCTGGCCCATATTCCTCGTTGCTATACTCTCTAATGTCCAGTAAACTCCCAAACCACACCACACATCGACTAACCTCTGACGTATATGTAGCATAAGCCACGCAGGAACAGTTCCGCAAGCAAGCGTGCTCACACTCCAGTTTACTCCTCACTGATGTATTCACCAGAAACTCTGAATTGTCTGGCAGCTTCAGTCCCGTAAACTTTCTAAACTTTGTGGCCGAGCTACAATTCCAGGATGTTCTTGCAACACACCCACCAGACCAATCTAAAACATTCCAGTCTTGTGGCACTCTTGGGGTGAACCCCGATGGACAATAGCAAATAGACTCCCTATTCATGTTGCAAAACGCGTTAGGACCACAAAGTGCATACTCTTCGCATCGAGTGTTCTGCAAAGTCATTATGACTACCCACTCGCCACGCCTTTGGTTCCATGATAGATGCTCAATCATACCTGACTGGTTCAACACTAATCTTGAAACTGTATTATTGTCAATGTTTTTGAAGGAGTAGTAACTAAACTCGTTATTGTCAACAAAAATAGGATTGAAAACTACATTTTCATCGAATTTACGATCGCCAGTAAATCGGACACCATCCCAGGGGCCACTTCGATACACTATTTTTGTTCCTTTGCGAAGAAATAATTGTGGAAGACCCTGATGGTCAAGTTTGTATGTATAATCTCCCGTAGATGGATCCTGAAGACTCTTCCATGAACTAAGGTGCCACTCGTAGCCAGTTTGTAGGTTCGATCCCAGCTTCATGCCCGGTATCATTGTGTCACAGGGATGATCAAAGCTTTGCCATAGGTAGTTTTCACTGACAACATCTTTGACAACAAGGTTTCCTGTGTCTAGGAGCTGCAAAACCGGATTTCTTGAGGTTGTGGATGAATTTGAAGACCAGAGAGGGTTGCTTGTTCGGTTGCTCAGGATGGTTACATTTCCGGTGGCAGTGATCATTAGGACACCTGAAGAATCTGTAAGCGGGTTGTCTTTATTGGCCACCCAAAAAACTGTTGTTTGGGGAATGTTTTTAAACCATATCCCAATGTATCGATAATTTGAATTCCAGGGACTGAAGAAGCCTAATTCGAAGTGTCCACCTACAGAGACAAGAGTTTCACCATTGTCTGTTAGAATCTGGTTTGGAGCTATGGTATCAATGGCGACGGATAATTCCAAGAGGAAGGAGAGCGAGATGAAGCATGTTAAAATTGAGAGATGAGCCTCCATGGATGATGCCAGTTACAATGCTCCAACAAAACGCTTGTTTAAATTGGCAATTGAACGTTTAGAGAGAGAAGAATTGACTAGGACGTAAATTAAAGTTTTTTCTTGAAGATAAGGAATATATTTATTGTTTACCATTCAACAGGTCATCAGCACAAAAGATAAAGTCAATGGTTTGTTGGAGCAGAATCGGCTCAACCTACTCCATTCAAACTTTAACTAGAAACTCAGGTTCCGGTGGGGCTATTTTCTCTGAATAATTTGCTTGGAACATGTCCAGCCCGTGTTTATGTGTTTGTTGAAGGGCTTCTTGCGCTGTAATTCAAGGTCTTTTGGCTAGGCCAGAAATCAATATTGGCAAGCATGAGGAAATTTAAAACAGAATATTGTCAGGCTTCTCATATGATCCAATTATTATAACATAAAATCATATGTCATATCCGAACTGAGACACAACAAACATCGCATGCAAAATATAATTTTACAAATACACAAGGCATAATTTATATTAAGACTTATAAGAACAAAATCTAAATGAGCCAATGTGTTTGAAAACAAAAAGTTCATAGCTTCTAATATTTATTGATATAACGACAAGATACTTAAAATAAGTTCAACAATGAAATACTTAAAAATTCATGAAATTTGAAATATTAATTTAAAGATATGAACAGCTAATTAAAAAATAGTCTTGAATATCTAAGTATCTAAGAGAATTCTAAAAATCTTGAAACATGTACTAAAATTTCAAAATATCACCTCTCAAGATTACCACATACATGATCGACATCAAAACTTGTAAAATGTTAGAGAAAAGAATGAGTATAATCACTCTTAAAATATTTAGACCAAAATAAAATAATTAAATAGCTAAAAAAAAGGATTAAAGATCAATTGCAAAATTTAGGGTAATTATGCATTTACAAAATAACTTCTTCCAAAATCATAATTAGAATAAAAAAAAAACTTAACAAATATTACAAAATTTAATTTCATAAATCTATCTCCCTTAACAAGCTATGGCTACCCTTAACCTTAATGGCACAAAAAGAATCAAAACAGAAAATCATAATTAACCACTTAGCATAATTTGATAGAAGTATATCAGAAGCAATAAGATGGTTACACTAAATAATCATAATTAACTTATTAGTACAATCGGATAGAACAAAAATCATAATAATCCCTTTGGTGCAATGAGACCGAGGTATGTTATTGGTTTTACGGTAAACAAAAGTTATTATTCTCGACCAGTTCTAAATCACAAAGTAAATATCAACATGGCCAACAATTAATCCCTATCATTAGGGTGAGAACATAATGTACTAGGAGACAATTTAAAACAAAGAATTCTAGATTACTCATATCGCATAATAATATCATTTTCATAATTTCAATAAAACTTTCAAAAAATCAAATATATATATTTATTGCAAAACTTAATCACATGATAAAATCATAGCATGGAAATAAGCATAAGTATTACCATTTCCATAACCGAAGCAAAGATACATACTTTCAAGCTTAACATGATAAAACAAAATAAGGGACAAAATAATGTTCATAACATACTTAACATGAAATGATATAAAGTTGACTTTTAAGGACATAAAAATTTGAAAAGATGTCAAGTCACTTACTTAATTGCTAAACCAAAACTTAAATATCAAATCATACAAATCTTTTGATGTCTTAATAATTTAAGAAATATTCAAAAATAAAAAACTAATTTGAAAATATAAATTTAATAAGACAAATATTTAGCTGGTCATTTTAAGAAAATTGGATTGTGTGGCAACCATCTTAACAAATCAAAATTATTTGAATGTATATTTATTATATAAAAATAAATTTTCTTTTAATATAGTAAAATACCTAAAATAAGTAAAAATATGAAATTAAGAATTTAAACATAAAAAATTAATAGCAATATAAATTTTATAAAAATTTAATTATAACATTTAATAGTTATCATTTTTGTAAGTTTGAATCTAACTTAATAAACTTTTAACAAAACTAATAATATAAAATTAATTCAAAAAAATTAATATAAGCAAAATTTTATTAAAAATAATATAACTGAAATTTATGTAATTAATTTATAATTAAATATATCAAATATTGGCTGAAAATAATTTGTAAAATAATTAAAAGCGTAAATTTCTTAATTCTAAAATTTTTACATTTTGTAATCATTTGAATTACTTTGAGTAATAAAATTTTCATATTCACATGATTTTTAGTGACAAAAAAAAAAGACATATTTAAAGTATGAATATAATACTATAACATAAAATTTTTTTTTGGTAAAAATGATTTTAAGAATCCTAAATTTCATAGGTTAAAATATTGAAAATCATCATAAAATAACCTAGATTTTTTGGATTTTGGAACCATTCGGCCCATCTTTAGACCTTCGATTCTCTTAGCACAAAATCCCTTTAACAAGCCACTTATACCAAAATCAAGATCATCTTTTATATTATAAAATTCTCTGAAAAATCAACCAAAAAAGTTACAAAAATGGAGTTCCAACGATCCAAATTTAGGTTACCAAAACTGTTAAATATCTATTTTTTTTAACTTCAAAATATTCATAACTCTTAAAATATACAATCAAATTAAGTGACATAAAGACCGATGGAAAGGTCTTTCAATAAATACCAATTATATTGCCGAAAAACCACCAAAAAATCATCAGAATTTTTAAAAAGTCAAATAACCCAAAAATAATGCTTGGGTTTTTGTCACAAACACCAAAATTAAAAAATTAGAAGACTCATCTTACCTTAACCATTCAATTGAATGATAAAATCCTCAATTTTCAACCTTTTTTCTTTTCTCTTAAGGTTTTTGCTATATTTCCAATTTATTTTGCTTTTTCAAATAATACCGTTAGTAGAAACTATTGATAATAGTTTCCTCTTTTTCTTTCTTTTTATTTTTTTAACACCCCAAACATTAACTTATAGATTGGAGTTATAATTATCATTTCAAAAAAATTAGGTTTTGAGCCGATATTACATCATATGCGACTGAAAATGTATTTGTATCCTATAATTAATTTTTACAAATGTACGGATGAATAGTATTTGTCATTGTGTGAGCCTCGTGGCATTGTTAGCTTTTTTTTCTTTTCCTTTTTTTTATATTTAATAAGTATTTTTGAAAGATTTTATTTTTTAAAGGTGGGTACCATTTATACTTTTTTTTTTTGCTTTTTGTTCTTTTTTCAAGATTTTATATTTTTTATGAGACTCAATAATATTAAGGGTATGTCGAGTGTTTTTTTTTTTTTATATATTTAATAAATTTTTTAAGATTTTAAATTCTTTTTTATCTAGTGAACTTGATTTCAAAGATACGTTACATGTCAAATTATTTTATTGTTTTTTTTTATCTTTTTTAAATAATTATAAATTAATAAAAAAAATTTAATGTTAAGCCCATTTGATATTATTGATTAAATTTTTTTTTTGGTTTTATTTTTTTTAGTTTGATAATTTTTTAAGAAAATAACATTAGACAATGCCCATTATTGCTAGTGTCACGTGGTAAATTGATTTGCTTTCTTTTTCTTTTTAATTTTTGCTTTTTCATCTTTTCTTTATAAGTTTTGTCATTTTTTTTATTTTTAATTAGATAATTTTATTGAGAAAAAAGACCAAAGGATGTGTACACATGGCAATCTATTTCGCTTTTTTGTCTTTTATATTTTTTATTTTTTGAATCAGATAATTTGCAATACAAAAAATTGATAATTAAATTTTTAAAGAAAAAAGTCAATGGAGGTATAAATAACAAAACAACTCGTATTCGATTAAATTTGATTTGCCTGAATCCGATAGGTACATTCTTAATTGAGATCGAATCGAGATTTTTTTTTCAAAAATCAAAGTCAAGTCAAAAGTAGGTTTATAGTATTCTATTTTACCTTGACTATATATATATTAGATTATATTTTTAATTATTTTTTAAATTTTAAATTTTTATATATATGTGTGTTAAATTAATAAATATATTATTTAATATCGTAATTTAATAAAAATACTATATTTATCTATAATTAAAACATAATTCATTCATCCATCCATTTTATGAATTTAACTAATTTTTATTTTTTTTCACTCTCATTCAAGGTCTTAATGTACCACCTTATTTTCTTCTTTTTTTCACATTTTTTTTTAATTTAAATAATTTTGTGGAAAAAAGAAACCTATGTAGGTGCCCCTATGGCACCACAATTTGTATTTTTACCATTTTGTATTTTTTTTTACTGTAATAACATATATATTTGTGGATCCATCACTAGACATAAACTTAAGAGTTACTATCAATCTTTTTTTTTTGTTTATGTGTAATTGACCACCTAACCGAATTTGTCTCATTTTAAAGAGAGAAAGAAAAAAAAAAACCTTTCTAGGTGTCCATATGGCACCGTAATTTGTTTTTTTTATCATTTTATTTTTTTACTGTCATAACGTATATATTTGTGGATCCATTGCTAGATATATACTTAGGAGTCACCATCAATCTTTTTCTTTTTGTTTAAGTGTAATTGACCACCTAACCAAAATTATCTCATTTTAAAGAGAAATCTTAAGTTTAACTTAAATATCTTTAAATGATAGATTTTAGTCCATAAAATCAAATTTTAAGTTTAAAAGTGCAGTTACACGTGAAGAAGGTTATAATACCCTCGCAATGCCCTTCAAAAGATGGTATCAATTTGATTTCAAGTTATCAAACCTTTAAAATATATTTATGATTTTACCAAATACTTTAATATTGAAAATTTTCCTTAAATTACTCCAATATGTTGGTAATAATTTAAGAATATTTTCTTATCTCAAGAGTATTCAAGGAGACTATTTGTCTTGCTTTGAAAAGGCTTCATTATCGAATTCATTTAAATTTTTAAACAAAACTTTTATTTGGGATAATGAGATTTAGAACCTTTGTATTGAAAATTATTATCTAAAATTCTCTAATATGTTGGTAAAATTTGAAAAAAGATTTTCTCACCTTGGAATTTATATAGAGATTGTCATTTCCAACATTCTCAATAATTCTATTATTGGACATTCAAAACCTAATTTTTATAAAATAATTTATTTTAAGAAAATATCTTCCAATATGTTGGTAAGATTTTCTGTTGAAAATTATTCTCCAATATGTTGGCAGGAATTAAGAAAATTATTTTATTTTTTTCAAATTTGATTTTTATTAAAACCCATAAGGTTCTCTAATATGTTGGTAAAATCTTATTTTTTTAAAAAATCACAAACTCTCCAATATGTTGG